ATTTGCATTCACATTTGCTACCCCTGCCCCCCGCCCTGTCTCCTGTTTGACATCTGAGGATACAGCAAGATGGCCATGTGTAAGCCAAGAAGTAAGCCCTTACCACACACCAAATTTGCTGGTGTCTTGATCTTGAACTTCACAGCCTCCAGAATCATGAGAATATAAATGTCTGCTGTTAAAACCACCAGTTGGCAATTTGTTGTAGCAGCCCAAGCTGACTAATGTATCCTGTTGTTAAGCAGTTTTCTCTGCTACCAAGTTTCTCTCTCTCTCTCTCTCTCTCTTTCTCTCTCTCTCTCTCTCTGTCCCTCTCTCTCTCTCTCTCTCTCTCTCTCTCTCTCTGTATGTGTGTATCTTACTCTCTCCCAAATCTTCACCTATTTTAAAGGCTTAGAACAGGAAGATTAAGCCTCTAAAGGATTAGACCCTGTGATAAATTTTTTTGGGGCTTTATGGGCCATACGGTCTCTGTATCAACTACTCAACTCTCATATTGTTACACACAAAAGCAGCTGTCAACAATATGCAAATGAATAGGTGTAGCTATGTTTTGATAAAACCTTATGGACACTGATGATTTTTGCCTGTCACAAAATATTCTTTTGATTTTTCTTAACTATTTAAAAATGTCAAAACCATTCTTAGCTTATGAACTACACAAAAATGGTTTGAGGCTGATTTGGCCCACAGGCTGTAGTTTGCTGACCTATAGCAAAGCTTCTCTCTCTTTTTCTTTCTTTTTTTTTTTGAGATGGAGTCTCACTCTGTTGCCCAGGCTGGAGTGCAGTGGCGCAATTTCGGCTCACTGCAACCTCCACCCCCAGGTTCAAGCGATTCTCCTGCCTCAGCCTCCTGAGTAGCTGGGATTACAGGCACCCAGCTAATTTTTATATTTTTAGTAGAGACAGGGTTTCAACACCTTAGCCACACTGGTCTTGAACTCCTGACCTCTTGATCCACCTGCCTTGGTTCAACATAGTGTTCTTTCAATTATGAGTAATTTCTACACCATTCTGGACACTCATCAAACAAGTGTTGAGCACCTATTATGGGCCACGGAGTATGGGCCAGCTGGTGATGATCACATGAATCTGATAGTGACATTGTCCCTGCTCCAAGGAACCTGGACAGAGGTGGAACTAATTTCAAGGGCATCTCTCACCTTCACAAATTCCCACAGCCCTTAAGGTTGGAGAGATGTCTATTTCCCTTTAAACTTTGCTTCAGCCCATTAATTTTGCTCTTGTCTCATGCTCAGTGCATAGTGCAATAGAAGACCAACTTTATCACATTTCTTTTGATTCTCTACTTACCCTTGGCCTTTATGGGTCTATTTTAAGTCCTGTGACCTTCTGTTCCTCTAAAGGAGAAGACAAGGAGGTAGACAATACTGTCTTTTACTAAGTTAAGTGACCTAATCATGCAAGAGTTACAGGTTTCTCTTCATTTGCAACATAGTGTGCTTTCGAATCACTGCAAAAGCAATTGCATTCCAACCCCTCAATACTCCTGGCAATGCAAACATTGTCTTGGTTGCTTTCCCCATCTGTGTGGGGCTGGGACCATCTGAAATGGTTGGTTCTAAGGAGCTTATGTTGCCCATTTTGGGGAAACAAATGGATTGGAACTCAGCACTACTGCTAGGGTAGGGGAGCCATTACGTTAGAGTACTAAATTGCAGTTTTAGTGGAAATTCAAGCTTTCGTGTGATGGTGAAGGCAAGTCAAATGGTAGCATATGACTCTGATTCGTAAGCTGTAACCCTGTGGTCTAGAGGCTCTGGGTTCAGGACATCAGTCTAGGATGCAGTCTACCCTTCTAGGCTTCCTCCTGACTTTCCTTGCAGGAATCCCCTCCACAGTTTCCATACTCTACTTTTAAGAGCATTAGAGAAATTTCCCTGGTCCAGACATGGAATTAGAGAGTTTTGCCGGGAGACAACCTCTATCCTGTGGGCTCACTTTTCTTCCCAAAGTGTCCCCATCCTGCACGGGGCTGGCTGCCCTGAGATAAGTAGATCCCTGCTCTTTGTTAATGGGGTTCCACCACCTGGCTCAACTCCAAAAAGGGTAATAAGATTTTTAGGATTATTAAATTTAATACAAATTTCCAGTATGAATTCATTAGCTCACTCATTCATTAATCCAGAAAACATGCTGGAGAATCTGCTGTTTCCCAGGCTTCAAAAGGAACACACAGATGAAAAAGGCCTGGCCCTGGACTCTAGGGTCTTCGTTAGAGGGTGAGACAATGATTGAACTGGATGTTATGAGTGCCCTAATAGAGGCATAAATAAGACTCCATAAGGCACCACCAACAGGGGATACCCTCCTGCCATGTGAAGGGCACCATTGCCTACTTGCCCAGAGGACTTCAGTCCCAGGCTAGGGGTGGTGAAAATCCAGCTAGCTCTCTCTTGTTATGGCCACGCTTTGCAATCCTCACTGCAATGGTGATTATATCTGTTTCCCAAGGTGCAAAGTCCCATGCAAATCCCCACCATTATCAGGTATAGAACTTCCAACATTTGCTGTGCAGATTGCAAAGGAGGCCAGGGATCTGGAGCACCAATGGTAACAACAACAGTAGCCATGATGATAGCTGATGCTTATGGAGTGCTTACCGTGTTGTGTGCCTAGCACTGTGCTGAGCTGTTTTAATGCACTTTCTAATTGAAACTTCACAGCAACCCTTCGTGGAATGTGTTGTTCTACAGAAGAGAAAATCCAGGGCAGAAAAGTTAACTACTTGCCCCAGCTACGAAGTGAAACAGCCTAGATTGGACCCAGGCAGTCTTAGTTCAGTTTCTCTCCCTGGTTTATGCCATCTTTGTAAGAAAATTGAGACAGGCAACTATGTTTTTTTGTTTGTTTGCTTTTTGAGATGCAGTTTTGCTCTGTCACCAGGCTGGAGTGCAGTGGTGCGATCTTGGTTTACTGCAACCTCCGTCTCCCGGGTTCAAGCGATTCTCCTGCCTCAGCTTCCCAAGTAGCTGGGACTACAGGCGTGTGCCACCACACCTAGCTAATTTTTGTATTTTTAGTAGAGACGAGGTTTCACCATGTCAGCCAGGACGGTCTTGATCTCTTGACTTCATGATCCTCCTGCCTCGGCCTCCCAAAGTGCTGGGATTACAGGCATGAGCCACCGTGCCTGGCCCAGTCAACTATGTTTTACACATCCCTTCTGTGCTTGGCTCTTTCCTTTCAATGTCTCATCTAATCCAAATGACACCGTAGGAGGTGAATATTAGTTTTACAAATAGGACTCTTGCAAGGAAGTGACTTGCCTAAGGCTATGCAGGGCCTTGGGCATGCTTCACATTTTGACTGTTCAGCCCCAAACCAATAGAGACAAGAGAAGGGGGCTCAGGACTGCCTTCAGAACACTTACAATCTGGACAGGATTTACCCAACATGCCATTAATCCACAACACTTAGCATCCCTCCCTAGGGTCCGGATGACAAAGTGCGTTCATTTCTGTGATATCACTCTGTGCGGAGACTGGAAAACTGGGAATTGTTTCTTGACAGGTGGACACTGGGATTCCAAAAGGAGGAGGAGGTAAATAAAGGGGGTCTGGAGCCAGGCGTGCTGGCTCACACCTGTAATACCAGCACTTTGGGAGGCTGAGGCGGGTGGATCTTGAGGTTAGGAGTTCAAAACCAGTGTGGTCAAGATGGTGAAAGCTCGTCTCTACTAAAAAAATACAAAAAAATTAGCTGGGCGTCGTGGCGGGCGCCTGTAATCCCAGGTACTCAGGAGGCTGGGGCAGAGAATGGCTTGAACCTGGGTGGCAGAGGTTGCAGTGGGCCAAGATTGTGCCACTGCACTCCAGCCTGGGCGACAGAGCGAGCTTCTGTCTCAAAAATAAATAAATAAATAAATATAAAAAAATCAAAAGAGATCTGGATCCTTGCTGCTTAAAGTGTGGTCCCAGACCAGCAACACTGACCCAACCTAGGTGCTTGATTCCCTGAAGAGTGACTTATTTTCAGGGCATGGCACTCTTTCTTGGACACCAGTAATCAACTGAGCCCAACTTGTTCCTTCCCCACACATACTGTGACTCACAAAAGGAGCTCATATCAGACTGGCGGAGACCTGGGTTCTATGCAGCAATCCCTGTCACTTGCTATGTGACTTGAGGCAAGTTCTGACCCCTCTCTGGGTCTTAGTTCCCTCCTGTACGGGAAAACACTGCCCAGATAGTTGTTTTCAATCCTCAGGGCCTATTGCTATCTCTTGGGGAACGTTAGCAAATTCTGATGCCTGGGCTTACAGCCAGAAATCCTGATTTAATCGGTGTGGGGTGAGACCTAGGAACTGGTACTTTTAAATCTTCCCCAGATCATTATATTGGTTTTGGTTTTTTCGGTTGCTTGTTTTTTGAGACAGAGCAAGACTCTGTCGCCCAGGCTGGAGTGCAGCATGCGATCTCAGTTTACTGCAACCTCCGCCTCCTGGATTCAAGCGATTCTCTGCCTCAGTCTCCTGAGTAGTTTGGACTACAGGTGCACTACCATTGTAGGCTAATTTTTGTATTTTTAGTAGAGGCACGGTTTCACCATGTTGGCCAGGCTGGTCTCAAACACCTGACCTCCTGAACGGGGCAGGGGGAGGGCAAGTGATCTGCTCCTCTTGGCCTCCCAAAGTGCTGAGATTACAGCCATGAGCCACCACGCCTGGCCCCAGCTCATTACCCTTTACAGCCAGTGTTGAGAAGCTGGAAGCCAAATGGCTGGTTTTAAAAAATCTGGATGCATCAGTATTTGCTGCTCTTGAGGCTTCAGATACCCAGGCCTACCCAGACCTTCTGAGTTAGAATTTCCTTGCTGTGTGGTGGGGCTGGACATGAGTATATTTGACAAGCTCACAAGGTGATACTGACATACCAAAGCTTCAGAACTCCTGGAATCAATGGCCTCTGAGGTCTCTTTCAGCTCTGATTCTGAGTTCCTCCCAGTCAATGATTTCTTTCTTTCTCTCCACACAGGAGCTGCCAGTTGGTGGTGAGCAGAGACGTCATCAGCTTGTAAGCTGAGCTTCAGTGTCCCCTGAGAATGCAGCCAGCTGGCAACGGTGGAAGAAAGTGGTGAACTCATTTGACTTCTCTTTATCAGCTGTTCCATGTATATGATGTGCAAGAGGACTGGGGCTCTGTGTCAAGGCCAGCTGGGATGCTGAGGTTTTGTGTTAGGACCAAGGGGGAGGCTGATGGCTGTTCTTGTTTGTGCTGCTCCACACCACGGCCTAAACTAGCCACAGGCTGCTACTGCCTGGACCCCAGCCCAAACCCACTGGAATGAGAGAGATGAGTCTTAGAGTAGATGCAAATTAACTTACCCAACTTCGTCTCTCTGGGTCAGCCCCCACAGTAGGCTAGATAGATACCTTGACTGCAAGGACAATCCAGGGCTGGCGTAAGGAACCAAGAGGTAGGCTCATAGCAGGCTCTATGCTGAGCTCTGATTCTACCCTGTCTTAGTGAGGCCATCCTGGTATCTCCTTTCCTCCATGAAGTATGTGGCGATTTAATGGTAGTGAAATTTATTGTGGGTAATGGAGTGTCAAGCTCCTTATTGCTAATGGATGATTTCAAATGTGGAGAAAGATTTATTAGATAAATCAAGCATACACCTCTGAGAGAATATTACTGTGAGTGAAAACAATTATATGGTTAAACAAAGAGGAAAGAAAATTTAAATGCATCTCTAAAGGTCTCTTTAAATCAGTTTAAATGTGTGATTTTTAAAAGATGGAGAGGATTAGTTTCAGCAAATTACTCATCAATTTTTTTTTTTTTTTTTTGGATTCAACAGGAAACCAACAGCCCTACTTGGCTTCCATTTAAAAAAGTTATTGGTGTTTGAGGAAGAAAGGAAAAAAATTAAGGAAGTGACTTTGGTAGCCTATTGCAGTTCTCAGGTTCTAATTTCCTTGGTGTATAGTGAGCTCTCCCTGTAGCATATGGAAGGGGTCAGGGAAGCAGCAGCCAGAACCGTCATTCAGAGAGGAGGATCAGGGTATTAGATGCATCAGAGCTTTGGAGCTGGAAGCGACTTTGGAGGACATTTGGACAATTTCATCGTGCCTGTGAAGAAGCTAAGGTCCAGAGAAGAAAAGGGACTTTTCTAAGTACCCACACGTGGTAGATTGCAGAGCCAGAAGCCGGGCTTTGCCGTTGCTCTCTCCGTGCAATGGGAATAATATTTGTCTCAGGGTGTCTGGAGGAGACAAGAACCTAGGGAAAGTACTTTGGAAAGTATTCTGCTTAGTCCTGGAAGGGATGGTGTGTGGAAGAGATTGGCTGTGAGCCTCCCTGGTGGGTTCATTTTTGTGAGGGGCCTTTCCCCTACCCTTGGTCACTTCAGCAGTTCCACAGCCAGGACTGTAGCTGGCTGAGGTTCCACACCTCTCTCCCCCACCAAGCTGAGGAGAGGCACAGGCAGCCACAAGCCCCTGACATTTTCCTTGAGATGGTGACAGCTGGTAAGACTTTTGACTAAAGGAATAAAGAGCAAGCAGGCAAAAAAAAGTTACTGTGTTAAAAGTGGTTTAAAAATGTTGTGCACCATCTGTTGGGCCACCACGGATTTTTGGGGTATGTGTAGGGGGAGAGACCTCTCCTCTCCCACTCCTGAGCTTCACCTCTTTAAGGACCAGCTATGAGAAGTTTTAGCATGTCTGCAGGCTTTGATTTCCATGTTCCTCAAACTTTCTTTCTGCTCCCTTCCCTTCGCTTCCAAAAATGCATGCTCTCATTCTGCTTCCTGAAAAGATATTTTCTTAATTGCTAATAAAATAGAGACCCTGCAAAGCCTGGCACATATAGATCAACAGGCAGGTGTTTGATGTTGGCCTTTGCTGTCTGAGCTTGGTTCTACTGGAAGGGAAATAGAACCTAAAAAAAGCAGGTATTGAAAGACACATTTTGAATGTTCTCACTCACATGTGGGAGCTACAAATTAAAACAATCGAACTCATGGAGATGGAGTAGAACGATGGTTACGAGAGGCTGGCCTGGGAAGTGGAAAGCAGGGGAAAAAGTGGGGATGATGAATGGGTGCAAACATATAGTTAGATAGAAGGAATTGGTGCCAGTATTTGATAGCACAACAGGCTGACTATAGTCAACAATAATTTATTGTGTATTTAAAAATAACTAAAAGAGTAGTATTGGAATATTCCTAACACAAATAACTGATAGATGCTTGAGGTGATGAATACCCCAATTACCCTGAAGTGATCATTACACATTGCGTGGCTACATTAAAACATCACATGCACCCCATACATATATACATCTGCTATGTACCCATAGCAATTAAAAATTTTTAAAAGAAAATACCATGGAAGCAAAATAATAAGAAAAACTAAAAACCAAAACAAGCAAACAAAACCAGGTATTTAAGCTCTACTCCACCCAGTAATATCACAATCAGGTTTCCCTTCACATCCTAACCCTTTAGACCACTTCTGCTGACATTTTTTATGAAGTTTGTCTGAGATATTTTTCAGGTTTTTTTTTTCCCTTTTGTGAATAGCGTTATAAAAATATATATTCTACATAGTTACTGCTGTAGTACATGAAAATTATTAATTTTGTGTGTTGATCGACTTGATTAACTCATATTTGATTCCATTTGCTTCTTGTGGATTTTTCTGATAGATGTTTATATTGACTGCAAATACTAACAGTTTTGTCTCTTTCTTTTCAGAATTATATTTCTTATTTTCTTCTCTTGTCTTTTTCTCTTTTCTTTTTTTTTTTTTTTTTTTGTGTGACGGAGTTTCGCTCTTGTTATCCAGGCTGGAGTGCAATGGCGCAATCTCGGCTCACCGCAACCTCCGCCTCCTGGGTTCAGGCAATTCTCCTGCCTCAGCCTCCCGAGTAGCTGGGATTACAGGCACGCGCCACCACACCCAGCTAATTTTTTGTATTTTTAGTAGAGATGGGGTTTCACCATGTTGACCAGGTTGGTCTCGATCTCTCGACCTCGTGATCCACCTGCCTCGCCCTCCCAAAGTGCTGGGATTACACGCATGAGCCACCGTGCCCGGCCTTATTCTCTTGTCTTTATGGGTAAGCTCATAGGGCAACATTGAAAACTAGTAGTAATCAGAGACATCTTTGCCTGGTTTCTGATTTTAAAGGAATTGTTTCTGATATTAACTGTGATATACACTCTGGGTCTCTGGTATACAGACATTACAAGTTGAATTTGTTAGTTTTAGTCAGAAATGGGTGTTAAATCATATTAAATTTTAGCATCAGTTGAGATCATCTGTTGGTATGATTTTACTCTAGTGAGGAACATTACTTGCTTTCTAATGTTGGACTATTACATTTTTTGCTCCTAATATCTTACTAGTTTTTACTTTCTAATACTTTAGATGGAATTTTTGTATCTTTGCTCATAAATAATATTGACTTATTTCTTTCATCTATGTTTCCTTGCCTACTTTTGGTATTAGGTTATGGTAGCCACATGGAATGAGTTAGAGTAATATTTTTTTGAGACGGAGTTTCGCTCTTGTTACCCAGGCTGGAGTGCAATGGCGCGATCTCGGTTCACTGCAACCTCCGCCTCCTGGGTTCAGGCAATTCTCCTGCCTCAGCCTCCCGAGTAGCTGGGATTACAGGCACACGTCACCATGCCCAGCTAATTTTTTGTATTTTTAGTAGAGACGGGGTCTCGATCTGTTGACCTCGTGATCCACCCGCCTCGGCCTCCCAAAGTGCTGGGATTACAGGCTTGAGCCACCTCGCCCGGCCCCGAGTTACAGTAATTTTTATCTTTTTCCATGTCTTGCATAGTATATCACATGGGATTATGGATTTTTTGAATGTTTGCTAGAACTTGACCATAAACTTTCTCATTTTGGTGCACTTTATTGGGAGTAGATCTTAAATTACAATTTCGATTTTTCTATGATTATTGGTCTTCCATGATTTTCTTCTTGAACCAATTTTTGTGATTTATTGTTTCCCAGGAAATTATTCATTCATTTAGATTTTGAAATGTTTTGGTCTAAATTCCCATTAATTTAAAATGTGCTTTGTATATTATGTCTCTTTTCTCAGTCTTAATGTTGTTTATTTTTATCACTATTACTCCCTCTATTCTCACTTTCAGTCTTGTCACAGGCTGCTCTAATTTATTGATATTTTCAAAGAAGCAACTTTTAGTTTTATTGATCTATATTATTGATTTTTTGTGTTCTAGTTAATTAGTTTTTGCTTTTTATCTTTCTTAATATCTTCCTCTAATTTCATTGAGTTTATTTTGCTTTTCTCTTTCTAACTTCTTGAATTAAAGAGCTTATTGACTTTGCTTTTACTTTTTTCCTTGTTTCTAATAATCTTATTTGAGACTATAAATTTTCATGAGTTAGGTATCTATCCCAGGTTTTTGAAATATGGCCTCTTCTTGTATTCACTTCTAAATGGTACATTTTTTCACTAATGTAGAATTTTAAAAAAATATTTGGCAGCTCAGGTGCATAGAATTGTTTAGCCATTTTTTTGTTATTAATTTCTAGATTTATTACATTTTTTTTCCCAGAAAGTAACCTGTCAGACTCCTTTCTAATGAAGTTTGTTAAGGTTTCCTTTGCGGCCTACTACGTGAATAATTTTTTTTAATGTTTCATGTATGACTGAAAATAATGAAGTCTCTTTTTCTTAACATTGATGTTCTCACTTTAAAATTATAATATGTATGTTCTTCAGGTCCTCTCTAACTGTCCCTGATCCACAGCTACTTGATCTGGTGATTTCTGAGAGTTGAATAACAAGGTCTCTTACCATAACTGTAGATTAACACTTTCTCCTTGTATATTATTCAATTTTTGCTTTGTGTATTGAAGTTAAGTTACTGGGTGCATAAAAGTTTATGGCTGAGTTATCTTCTCTATTGATGTTGTATTTTATCAACATGGAACTCCAACCCCCTACTTCCTTTCATTGTTCTTTGCCATGAGTTCTATTTTGTTTGATATTATCACAACTTGCCTTTCTTTTTCTTAGAATTTGCACAACATAGTTATTTTCATTATTTTATTTTTCACCTTTCTGTCTCATTTTGCTTTAGGTGTTTTTTAAAAGCAGCATGTATCTGGATGTTAGTTTTTAAATCTAAGATTTTCCATTTGAATAACTTTTCACTTCATTTTTTCTTCTATAATGGTTTGAAATTATTCATTCTATTTTATATTGCTAACCCATAGATTGATGCATTGAAGCATTTTAAGAGACATATTAATATTTAGAGTCAATCACTTCCTAGATCCTCCCAGCAAAAATTATTAAAAACTTATATTTCTTTCCTGCTCACTTTCTCTTATGACTCTCTTTCTTCCCCATCCTCCAGAACTGTGAGGATATAAATTTCTGTTGTTTAAACTCCCCAGTCTGTGATATTTTGCTATGGCAGCCAAAGTTGATTAATCTGTTTTGTTTCTTGGAGAAATTTTCTCTTTTTCCTTGTAAATTTTTCCAAAAATGTTTAAGTGTGAATCTTTTTATTTAACTTACTCAGCAGTTGATAGACCCTTTCAATCTAAAGACTTCCATCTTTTTTTTTCTCTCTGCCTTTTAATTATTTCTCCTCCTTAATTCCTTTTATTTCCATTTTCTGATTAAATGGATTTATATACTGTTGGATTCATTCTCCATTTCTCTTTAGTTTTTTTCTTAACTTCTATCTGTGTTTCCTTCTGTGTTCTGTTTCTGGGAAAAGTCCTTGGTTGAATCTTCCAGTTTGGTAATTTTCTCTTAGTTTTTACCTATTTTGATATTTGGCTCATATATTGATTTTTAAAAATTTCAATACTAGAGTTTGTAATTTCCAAGATATTCATCTGATGATTTTGTATGTGTGCCACATTCCCTTGCATGGGAATACTAATTCGACTTTTATTAACTATTTTCCTATTGATTCTATTAATTCTTTCCACGGGCATTTAGTTCTTCAGTTTGTTCAATTTAGTTCTTCATGTCCAGTTTAGTTCTTCGGATGGTTAAATTTGGGACTTTTCTTTCACGAGACTGATTTTCTTCAGAACCCCAACCAAGCATCCCATCAATCATCCTTGGGTGCTCCTGCTGCCTTGGACACTGGTGCTCCTCCATTTCTTGTAGCAGGTCTCTCCTTTGTGCTGTTGGGATGCAGTTTCCTTCTTCTGTCTTCTCCATCTGCCTTTCTCCTTGCCGCCATTCCTAACTTTTTCATCCACTGGGGTACCCCTTCTTTTTTTTCCCTACTGCTATGGATTTTTATTATTATATGTTGTTATATTCTTATTTATATGCTGTATTGGTTATATTGCATTTTATTTACATTATTATCATCAATGTTTATTATTGTTATTATTTCTTTTTCTCTAAGAGTTTAGGATAAGAAGGGGAATATGGAGATTGTGCCCTGGTTCACTGGTTTTATCCAACCTCCTCAACTTTGTATGTTTTGAAGACTGGTGTTTTAAACCACAGTTCCAAAGATGAGGGTGAGTAGTTTGACTAGCAGTTACCAGGGCTGGGTCTGCCCTTTGAGTCTGGCCAACAGCTGCACTGCACTCACAGTCCATAGTCCCATTAGTGGCATTTTTCCGCCGGGAATTCCCTTTGTGTTTATTTCCAATGTTAAGATGTTCTTATCCTGCTTCACCTCTGGTAGGAAAGCTTGTGAACTCAGATGGGTTTCCCATTTGCTGATCAGCCATGAATTATTAGTGCAGGAGAAGAGATGGACATAAAGAAATCAGTTGGGCATGAGGAGATGTGGTGGGCATTGTCATATGCCACCTAGATCTACTTCTAGGAATGAAGGACACATTTCCCCTTTCTTCCCTTTGGGGATTGCCTCAGATAAAAGAATGGCTCTGCCCCTGGTGGTCAGTAGCCCTCTTTCTCAGCCTTCTGCCCCAACTCAGGCAGTTCTGAAGGCTCACCTTATCTTCCGAACTCCCCATGCTTCCCTGACAATGCATTGCAGATCACTGTCTCCCTCTTCCCAATCTGCCTCTTCTTCTTCATTCCACTGGTGTTGACCCCAAGGTCAACTCCCTAATGAACCTCATACCTGCTAAACTTCATCTCAGGGTCTGCTTCCTGTGGATCCCAACCTATGATCAAGCATTTACTGAAAGTTACTACATGTAACAGAGCAAAGCACCATTGTAGCTATATTTGGCTACAGAAACCCTTCAACCTGCTCTGGGAAATGGGGAAAGGAGCTACATTTGGCCAGCCAGAAAGTATGGGGAGGCAACGGCCCCTTACACATGCATTTTGATTTACCCACCCAAATCTCATCTTCTGCAGCTTCCCCAACTCAGAAAATGGTAATACATCTGTTTAGTCAATCAAGACAAAGATCTTAGAGTCATTTCTGACCTCAGACTCTAACACCACATTAATAAATTCATCAGGGAATCTGCTCAGCTTTACCATCCAAAATCCTAAATCTGACCCTTTCTCACCACCTGGAATGCCAACCCCTGGGTCCCAGCCACCATCACCATCCCTAGCTTGGATTACAGCAATTGCCACTGTGAAAGGAAAAATAAAATCTCAGGACCCCCAACTCAGCATGTCAAGGGAAAAGTTAAACCTGGAAACCAAGTCATGCCAAAAACTTGCCTTTCCTTTTGATCCTAAATAGATAGCTACTAGATAGAAGGCCATGTTCTCCCCAGGGGGCCTCCCTCACCCTGACAATGTAAATTAACAGCTTATCTTTATGGTTCAGGACAAGAGGAGACTAGAAATTGCACCCCTCCCTTCCACCGCCTACCCTGAGATGAATTTATATTCGACTTCTTTCTGTACTCTGTATTTACTGTATCTTATGTAAAGTGCAGATTTACTGAGCGCGAGACGAATACATAATTGACTGTTCCTCTGCCCCCTCCTTTTCATATACAACATGTGGATTCAGTGAGTGCTAATCAAAGCCTCATAAAAATGTAACCATATCCTCCCTCTTTTTTTCCCCTCCTTTCCCTGCCTGCCTATCTTTTCCCTGTTAAATACTGAAGCCCTTAAAATCCTCCTTGGAAAAAGTATGAGCCAGAGATCCTATTGTGGCTTGTGTCTCTTCATCCCAGGCATGCCCTTAACTTGGGCAAAATCAGCCTTTAAATTGATTGACATCACTTTTCTTTTTGTTTACACCACCTAATAAAGCTCTCAGCTTCCAAACTCTTAGCCCCTACAATCTATTCTCAACACAGCAGTCAAAAGGATCTTTAAAAACCAGAGTCCATTCATATGTCTCCTTGGCTCAAAGTTCTCCAATATTTCCATCTCATTTTAATCAAAACTCCAAGCCCTTCCATGGCCCCCAAGACTCTTTATGACCTGGCCCTCCCCTGCCGTCCTGCTGACCTTTCCTTCCACTACTTCCCCCTTGGTCACGCCAGTCCATGCCAAGCTGTTCCTGACCTACTTGAAGTTCTCCCTGCTGAAAATGGCCGGAAAGCTTCATGGCTCCTCCCCTCACTTCCTTCAACTTCCATTTCCAATGTCCTCTTATCTTCCTTCACCACCCAATTAGTGACACTAACCTCCTCTCCCTACGATCCTAACTTTGGCACTAAACCATGTTTATTTTTTCCCATAGCACTCATCACCATGCAATAGATTTCCTTGTTTATTTAGTATGTTTCTCCCCCAAGCAGAATAGAAGCTTTATGAGAAGTGCTTTGTTCACTTTTCTATTCCTAACATCCAGAAGACTGCTCAGCACAGAGTGGATGTTAAACAAATGTTTGTCAAATAAATGAAATTTTAATTCCCTGACTGTTCCTATCTCAGATGGGAAAATTGCTTAAGCACAGATAATATTCCTCCTTCTGCCTCTTACTTGACTAATGACCTTCCATAAGCCCCTTTAACCTATCAGTCTATCAGGAAGCTGAGGGGGTGGGACAAATGGTCACTCAGTATCTCTTTTCCATCTGATCTTTTGCTGAAATTGTGATTTATTTAATGCAAACAACCTGGTGCGACATTACTGCCACCGTGTTTCTATTGCTTAAGTGAATTCCAAATGAAGCCCAGATCCAGCTTCTCTAGGATTCCTCCCCTGTGTCATCCCACCTGCAGGGAGTGGCCCCAAGTGCTTGACCTTCTTTCCATTTTAACCTTCCCATGCATTTTCTGTGTCCTGTTACTGGCTTTAGCCTCACATTGGGCAGATTGTATGTCATTGCCCTTTGCTCTGGTCAATGGGATATGAGCAGATATGAGGTCAGCAGCAGCTTGAAATAAACTTGAATGGTGAGCTTGCCCTCTTGGGCTTCTTCCATCACAATGAGAAACATGTCTTGGCTAGCCTGGTGTGTCCAAGAAGAACTGAGAGATACCTGGAGTACCTGGATCAAACTGAAGGCCAGAGCCAAACTCAGCCGAGCTCAGGTGAGATCAGCAGAGCTGCTCCAGCTAACCCATATGTGTATGAGTGGAAATAACTGAAGGTCATAAGCACTGAGTACTGGGGTGCTTTGTTATGTGGCATTATTATGGCAGGAGCTGACTAATATACCAATCTTCTGGTATATACCAAAACTCAGACTAATATACCAAAACTCAGCTCAAGGTACATACTGGTTCAGAAAACATCCCCTTAGCCCAAGGGCATGGCCTAACAGTGAGAATTTCAGGTCTGTTTCAGGTTAGTGAGATCAACTGCTTGCAAGAACTGAGAGACTACAACAGAAAGAGGGGGAAATGGGCAGCCAATATTGCGCAGTTGTGCTGTTTGATGACTCTGCAAACAGGAAGAACAAGGATCGAGAGGATTTATAGTAGGAGCTGGTAGAATGGAGCTGGGGCTGGCTTCTTTCCCATTTTTTTTCCACAAGTCTCCCCACCAGGACACAGGAGCTGCCCTTGGCCTGAAATGTGGATCGACCTACGGCTTCTGGGTATATCAGACTGGGGCAGCAGGGCACTGTTATTCTGACAGTGAACATTACACCTTCCAAATGGACATTGCAGAAATTTAGAATTGAGTCTCGTCAAAATTTCCTGATTTGCATGTTAGAAAGTCAAAGGAGAAGTTCCTTTATCTTCCTTCTAACTCGATGAAAAGATTTTTAAGGAGACTTTACTGCAATCATTGTTTTTATTGCTTAAATGAATTCCAATTGCTACTGTAAATTCCATTCATTATTTAAATAGCTTTAGCTCCCTTAAGAACCTAAGTGCCTTACAGGAAGGAAGGAGCTCTCAAATCCATGCAGGGTCGGGAACTGCTCAGGGGGCTCGAATCCTGGGGCATAGGGAGAGGGACTGCAGTGTTCATGATGGGTCTGTAGGGAGGCAGATCAAGAGCCGGACTGAGTGATAGTAGGAGCTGGGGGAATTGCTAAGATCATCTGGGCCTAGGATGCTTTCCTAACTTTCCTGATCCTAAGAATCCTCTGAATCACTTGTTAAAAACAGATCTGCAGACCCTTCCTCTGGCGATTCTATTTTAGTAGGTCTGAAAAGGAGTCCAAAATTCCATGCTTTCAAGAAAGACCCCACTTGATTTTGACAAGTAGACATGTATGGAAAATACTGATCTATCAAGCTGCCTTGTTTTATAGGTGAATAAATTGAGTCCCAAGGAGGGGTCTTTTCCCAGATCACTGAGCCCCAGTTAGTGCTAGAGCTAAATCCAGGACAAGATCACTGAGACCCGAATAGCAGGTTTAGGATGCCCAATTTGCAGTTGTGCTGCTGGGACTGGAACTGGTAGTGTCGTCTGCAAGTCCCTTGAAACATTTGTTTAGCTGCTCACTTTCTGTAAGAACAGCTGAAGGCAGCGCTCCTGGAGTCAGACAGACCAGGTTCAAATGCTAACTTTACTTCTGATTCACTGAACAACCTTGTGCACATGGCTTAATTTTTCTGAGCCATTAATATGACCATTAAATCAGATAATGTACCTGCTCCTAGTAGGTGCTCAGTAAATGATTATTGCTTATGAAGCGCTAGACCCCCTTCCAAGTCAAAGAACTGGCCAGTATGAGCACATTTAATAAACAAAACAAGCCTACTATTAACCCCATTTTAAAATGAAGAAAATTGATGAAGAGAAAACTTGAGTGACTGATTCAAATCACGCATATAGCAAGTGAGAAGCAGAGGTGGATATGAACTCATGTAGTCTCTAGCCCCCTTCTTTCCCTCGAGGGCAGGGTCTGGGTCCCACTTACCACAGCATGGCCCCTGGTGCAGGCCTTTGCACACAAGTAGATATCAATAAGTACCTGATGAATGAGATTGAGATTTAAAGGCAGGATGAGAAATTCACTTCAAGTGTGGCTGAGGGTGGGGTATTAGCATGGGGTAGCTGAAGAGGGCAGTAGGAGAAGCTAGGTAGAGAAGCCTGTATCCAGGGAAGATGGGACAGAGCCTGCAGGACCAATCCCTGGGAGTTAAAGACTGGTTTCAGGCCGAACAATTAGCATTGAAATGCGCAGGAGCCTGGAAGTTTTTTGCATTGTCGCCTGCAATAAGGAAAAATCCAGACTGAACCGGGTGCTTGGATCAGAAGTGATGTAACGAGCTGGCTTTGGCCTAGTTTTTGTAAAGCAGGCGGGCCCCTGGCTCTCCCACACCCTTTTTTTCCAGAATTGGCAAGTGACAGCTACTGCCATCTAGTGGTCCGAGTGGCACTGCACAGGCATGGGAAAAAAGGTTGGTCTGCACCACAGGGATAAGAGGATGCCCTGCCTTCCGTCTCCCAAAAGATGAGGGTCCCCAGTGGTGGTAGAGAGTTTTTTCTGTTCAAGGCATGTTCTTACCTTTTACTTCATTAGATCTATTCAACAATCCAGGAGGTCGTCAGGGGCCATTGACTCCATTTTATGGTGAGGCGACAAGTCGCTAAAGAAGAGGGGTCTTGTTGAGAGTCGTATTGTCAGTTATTGATGGAACCAGGACTGGAGCCCAAGTCTTTACAATACAATTTCTTCACCCAGAAGTAATACAGAGAGGCTGTCAGGTCCTTTAAAGTCTTCTTGAACAGGAAATGGAAGATGATTAATCCTGGAGGTCTTGGTCACTTCTCTGCATGGAGGTGAGTCCCCTTCAGCTCAATGACTCGCAACTTTTCTCTGGAAAGAGAATCTTCAGGTGGGATATCTTGGCTGATAATACTCATATGGGAGGTTTCAGACAAAGATGAATACTGCCCCTCCAGCTCTTTACTATTGTCTGTAGTAAAGGCCTGGTCGTGTATTGGTAAAGGTAGTTTGATTTAAGCATCTGGGGATTGCATCTGTTTTGAGGCCCAATGAGGGGATGGTTCATGAGTGGAGGATGTCTTTGGATGAGATAAATATATGAGTGGATATCTCTATTGGGAGAATCGTTCAGTTATCAACTTCAAGGAATCAAAGTTCTTCTGGCTTAAAGTCTGCTGTTGGGACTATATAAGAATTGAAGCCTAATTCTTCGTAGTCTGTGTATTCATAGCTTCAGTATCATTGGTGATCCTCTTACAGTATACTCAGTTAAAGCTTATCTGGTCCAGATCCCTTGTATGAAAGATGGGAAAACTGAGTCTCAGAGAGGGGGAATGACTAGGCTAACATCACACTATGGTTAAAGCCCTTCCTCTCCAGCCTGTCTTTTCTGTTCTATGTACGCTAGTATAATAGCTGGTGCTTGGAGCCTGCACTGCTTCAAACAGATATAACTGTTTATGGCCCAGAGTGAAAATTGGTGATTATGATGAATGAGATTGAGATTTAAAGGCAGGATTGAGATTAATGTGGTGAGAATTGAGGAAGCTGACATTTACTGTGCCCCTGGGGATCTCCGTAATGCCTGAGAGAAAGGGAGAGCACATTCAAAAGTAAGGCATTGCATAAGGAGCACTGGCTGTGGAGTCCTAACACCCGGGCTTTAGTCCCTGCTCTGGCAAGAGCTTGCTCTGTGTGTGACCTTGGGAGTCACTTGCTCATTCTGCTCTCTCATAGATCACTCATTCTTACAATAATCCTGATCTTCCTATTGCCCAGGGTTGATGAGAAGATCACATGGAGGGAATAGGGGAATGGGTGTGAAAGTGGTTTGTAGAAAGTCAAGTGCTACATTTATAAATGTTTTTTTCTTTAACTAAATTGAGGTAAAATTTATGTGCAATAGAAATGCACAATTCTAAAATGTTTAATTTTATGAGTTTGGAAAATTGTAATCAGCTGTGAAGCCATTATCCAAAACAAGATACAAAGTATTGACATCCCTCCAGGAAGTTCCCTTGGACTCATTTGTAGCCAACCTTCCAAGCCTGCAGGCAACCACTGTTCTGATTTCTATCACCTTTGCTTAGTTTTATGTGTTCTAGACTCGACATGAACAAACTCAGCCAATATGTACTATTATGTGCCTGGCTTCCGTTGCCCACTGTAATGTTTTTGAGATTCATCCACGTTGTTTTTTCCTTTACTGCTGCTAAATAGTATTTTATTGTATGGATATACCACTATTTATCTATTTTACTATTGAAAACATTTGAGTTATTTCCAGTTTTGATATTATGATTAAGACTGCAATTAGCATTCTCTTCCACATTTTAAGTGCACATATGAAGCCATTTCTGTTGAAATAGGAGTGGAATGTTGAAGCATACCATACATGCATGTGTAACTTTAGTAGAAGCTGATGAACAGATATCCAAATGGTTATACCATTTTACATTCCCAACAGTATCACAGCAGAGTTCCCGACAGTGCATAGGTTCCACATTTTGTATTGTTAGAGTAGTCATTCTAGTGAGCATAGAACAGTATCTCATTGTAGTTAAAATTTGCACTGATGTTAAGTACCCTTTCTTATTTGCTATATCTTCCTCTGTGAAGTATCTTTTATTTGCCCAGTTTAAAATAATTAGCTTGTCATTTTATTGTTGATTTGTAGTAATTCTTTATACGTTATACACAAGTTGTTTGTCAGATAGGAATGTGGCAAAAACCGCTCTACTATTTTTTTTCTATTCATTTTCTTAATGATGCCTTTTCATAAGCAGGGATTTAAAAAATTTAAGCTCAAGTTATCTATTGCTTTCATTATGCTTAGAGCTTTTCAATGTCCTAAGAAATTTTTGTCTAATCTAAGAATGCAAAACAATTCTTTTGTGTTTTATTCTAGAAGCCTTATGGTTTTCACTTTTCTGCTGAAGTCTATGATCTGTCTTAAATTGTGTTTGTGTATGGAATGAAGATAGAGTTGAAGTTCATTTATTTCCATATGGATAAACAATTGTTTCAGTATTTTTTGTTAAAAACATTTTCTTTTCCCCAGTGAACTGACTTAACACCTTGGAAATTTTATTTTTCAATTAAAAGGTCTAAAAATTTTTTATTTTAAAAATATAAGATAGTAACATTGAGTTTTGGAAGGATGTACAGTTTTATGACTTTGAATTCAGGTATAGGTTTGTGCAACCACTACCACAATCAGAATATAGAACAATTTGATCATCTCAAGAAACTAAAAAATTTAAGAACTTAAATTTTTTGATCTCAAGAAATTAAAAAAATTTAAGAACTTAAATTTTTTAATGCTATCTATGTGCCTGTCCTTTTGCTGACACCACACTATCTGGATAACTGAAGCTTTGTAGGAAATCTTAAAATCAGGTAGTATACATGCACCAACTTTGTAATTCTTTTTTCAAAATCGTTTTGACTATTTTAGCTCTTTTCCATGTCCATATATATTTGAAAGTCAACTTGTCAATATTAAAAAAAATCCTTCTGGGATTTTTATTGCATTCGTGTTAAATCTTTAGATCATTTTGGGAAGAACTGACATTTTAACTATGGTGAGTTTTGCAATCCATGAATATGGTATATCTCTCCATGTATTGAGGTCTTCTTTAACTTCTTTCATAAGCATTTTGTATAGTTTTCAGCATACAGATTTTATATAAGTATTTCAGTTTTTGGAGGGGTATCGTGAATGACATTGTTTTAAAATTCTGTTTTCCAATTTTATGTTGCTTGTATATAGCAATGTGATTGATTATATGGTTTGCCTTGCAATCTTGCTAAACTCATGTATTAGTTTTAGAAGCTTTTATAGATTCCTTGGTACTTTCTGTCTAGAAAGCTATGTCATCTACAAATAGAAGGTTTTATTTCTTCTTTTCTAATCTGTATGCCTTTTGATTCTTTTCTCTGCTTATTGCAAATAGCTAGGACTTCCCATACAATATTAAAAAGAAGCAGGGAGAATTCATCCATGCCTTGCTCCCAATCTGATAAGAAAAACATTCACAATTTACTATTAAGTAGAATGTTAGCCATAGGCTTTTTACATTTGCTCTTTATCAGATGGAGGATGTTTTCTTCTATCTCAAGTTTATGGAGAGTTTTCATCATGAATTGTTGTATTTTGTCAAATCCATTTTCTGGATTACATATGATGATGTATTTTGCCTTTTAAAATTCTACTAGAGTAGATTACATTGATTGATTTTTAAAATATTGAATTAGCCTTATTTACTGCTGTAAATTCCACTTGGTTGTGTGTGTGTTTTTTAAAATTTGGTTGCTATATTTCGTTGAGAAATTTTGCTTTTATGTTTATAAAGGGTATTAGTCTGCAGTTTTTTGGTTTGTCACTATTTTTGTATGTTTTTGGTATACTGGCTTCATGAAATGAGTGGGTATATGCTTCCTTCACTTCTATTTTCTGAAAGAAATTGTGTAGAATTAATGCTTTTTTCTTCTTTAAATATTTTGTAGAATTTTCCAGTAAAGGTATCTGGCCTGGAAATGACTTTTCTTTTGGAAGACTTTTAAAGATAGATTCAATTTCTTTAATATTTGTAGGACTATTTAGGTAGTTCATTCATTTCATCTTGGATGAGTTTTATTTTTTGTGGTTTTCTAAGAATTGTTCTATTTTATCTAAGTTTTTGAATTTGTATGTATTATGTTTGTAGTATTTCCTTATTATTTTTTAATGGCCACAGGATCTGTATCTCTTTCATTCCTGATATTAATAATTTGTATCTTCTCTCTTTTTTCTCTGTCAGTCTTGCTAGAAACATTTTAATTTCTTCAATTATTAAAAAAACACCTTTGGCTTGATTAAGTTTCTCTGTAGTCTTTCTGTTTCAATTTCACTGATTCTGCATTACTTTTACTGCTTTCTTTCTCCTGGTTACTTCGGTTTTGTTTTACTCTTCTTTTTCTAGTTTCTCATGGTAGAAACTTAGATGATTGATTTGAGATCTTTTTCTTTTTTTCTTTCTTTTTTAACCAACATAAGGATTTAATATTATACATTTTCATCTAAACACTTAGTTTTAGATGCAACTTGAAAATTTTGATAGGCTGTATTTTTATTTTCATTCAGTTCATATATTTTCTCATATTTCTTGAGACTTCTTTTTTGACCTATGAATTACTTAGAAGTGTGTTGCTTAATATGTTAGCATTTAGATATTTTCCTCTTCTTTTTCTCTTATTGGTTTCCAGTTTAATTCCATTATAATTTGAGAACATAATTTGTATACTTTCAATTATTTTAAATTGGTTAAAGTTTGTTTTATGACTCAGGATTATGATCTATCTTGGTGAATATTTAATATGCACTTGAAAAAAAAATTGTATGCTGCTTTTGTTGGATGAGGGTATTCCATAAATGTCAGTCAGGTCTTACTTGTTGATGGTGTTTTTCAGTTCATTCCTATATGAGAGTGTGAGTTCCTTTCCTACTTCTTGACCCAGAACTATAGAGTGTCTCCTAGAGCTCTCTATTCATGTTAATGACCATGTCAGGATATCAGGCCATTGGTTCTTGTAAAACAGAGGGGAAAAAAGAATTCACAACATTCAATGGTACTTTGAGTTCTGGACTTACTTCCCTATCTACCTGTTAATATTTACTATGCAGAGTCCTCAGAATGGTGCACATATTTAGCCCAGGTTTTAAAGTTGTTTTTTCTTTGGGGAACTACCTCTTAGTACTCTCAGTTCATGAGATGTGAGTGGGGTGGACCTCAACCCTGCTTCCATGTGCTCTGATCTGACCAGTTAATGTATTCTATCTCAGGGCTGCAATGATTGGTTAAGGAATGAACATGTGATTCAAACTGTACAATGGTTATTTCTGAGAGTTTTGTGGGAACTAGTAGGAAACAGGATTTCTCTTCACTGGGGTTATTTACCTACAGGGATGAAATCTTGTCACAGCTTGAGAAGAGTTTGCCTGAGAGTAAAATGGCACATTGAGGAAAGTGAGCTAAGAAAGAGAAAGACAAACTCCTAATGAGCTTGCTGAAATACATAGATCCAGTCATTCCTGAAGTTAGTAGTCATCTCCCACATTCTAGACTTTTCAGGTACGTGAACAAAACAAAACAAAACAAAACAAAACAGTAACAACCCCCGCCACCAACTTCCTCTGAATTAGCCAGTATCAGTTGGTGTTAATGTATCAGTTGGTGTTAATACTACTGATATTAAGTAGTATCAGCTACTTAATATTAAAAGAGTATTAATACATATCTACATATCTTAAGTTGCCTTTCATTCTCCTTAGCTTCCTCTGTCAGATTCTAGGGACCTATTGCCCGCTTAAGCCCCAGGGCACCATCCCCTTCCTTGAGAGAGCAATTAGCTGATTTCATGGTTCTCCAAACAGAAATGGTTGTCCTTAGAGAATCTCAGCATGACAAGTGGGCAGAGAAGCTGGGTCTCAGTATGGAGCCAGAGAGCGTGTTTGCAAGTCTGCATCTGCTGGCTACATTAATGTGCAAATCAGGCTGTGGGCCGGGGTTTATTTTTAATAATTAGAAGCCCATCTTACTTTAGAAGTGTGCTGCAGCTTCCTGTGACGAAAGGGAAAAGATGGTTCATTCCTTCTTTCCCTTGCTCCATGGAATCTACATTTCTGGAAACTTGGAGATGATATAGCTTATTCACTCTTGGAACTCAGTATTCAAAAGGAGAAAATTGTGTGTAGAGAAAAAGATGACTTTTAAAGATGGGAAAGGAAAATTATCTATTTCTCTATAGCATTTGGCAAATCTGCTAAACTTCATCGGGATCCTAAACCAGGGGGTAGATATCATCTTTGGCACATAGATGAGGCAGGTGCCTGGCATGGTTGTCAAGATCATGGAATCTTTGAACTATGAGACTGTAAGCTTGTAGCCTAATATTTTTCCAATGGAGAGAAAGAGGACCCTTTTTGGAAAGGGTTCTGTCCAAGGTCAGGTGGGGAATTAACATAACAAGAAGAATTATGCTTCAGCGTGGGTTCTTTCTTCTGTGTCCCAAAGGCTCTCACCACATCCCACACCATCCAGACCTCACTTACGGCTTTCCTACATTTCCTGAAGTGCCTCTTTGCAGGGGTCCCAGGTGTGAATATAATGTGCCCACTTGGCTTGGTCATTCTCCACCTGTTTGCCACTCATCCAACTGTCAGTCCCCACCCCCATGGTTTCCTTTCTTTTTTTTTTTTTTGGCATAGTGAGTTTCACCAGGCAAAGTCTGAGGTGTGGAATGCAACCAGAAGCATGCTGCTTGCTGTGGGCAATGGAATGTGAGTGGAAGTCACATGTCACTTCGGGATGGAGGCCTTCAGGTAAGCCTGCCTTACTGCTCTATCATCAACAAGGCCTGGTGCACAATCTGTCCCTGCCCTCCAGGAGAGCTCATGGCCCAGTGAGGGAGGAAGATATGGAAGCAGTCATCATGTAGGGTGATTGGGGCTGTGTCAATGCTGTGTCTCGGCAGGAGGGGGCAATGAAGGGTGTAGTCAGCTCTGCTGGAGGCAGGGGTTAGAGACGCCTTTACTAAAATGCACAGATCTTTAGTTGGGTCTTGAAGGACATGTTATGTTTTCCTTTCTTGTGGTATTTGTCTTACTCTGCTCTTTGTAATAGTGTCATGTATCTGCCCGGTCTCGTGCAGGCCATTTGCTGCTGTACTTAACAGCTGTGTGCCTCAGTTTCCTTGTCTGTCAAGGAATTATAATTATAATGCTTCCTCATTAGAGTTGTCTTCAGGAATAAATTGTTTAATATGTATGGATATATATGAAGCATATGAGATGATGCCTTACACATGGTAATCAATCAGTAAATGTTACAGTACAATACTTTACATTTAATGGATGCTCAAAAAATGTTTTCCTCCTTAAAGGGCTCCTCAGCTTTAGGTGACCTCTGTCACCTAAAATAAAAACTATTTTGGCTGTTGGAAGTCTCTAGCAACCTAATATATACTCTCAAAAAGGCATCCCTCCACTGAATTAGCTAATTCTCTCATCTGGATTGGTATCACTTAATGATTAGCAGGGATTAGAGGAGCACCTACTACTAAAAGTCAGGGAGACACAAAAAATGTTAGGACTAAGAACTGGCCCTCAGACTTAGGGGCCAGCTGGGGAAACCCAGTGTATGCTTGGGTCCAATAAAAAAGATACACCATAGGATGACCCTGCTTTCCAGCTTGTAGGTGCTTCGATAAAAAGAGCATCATGGCCAGAAGGGTGTGGGAGGGGAATTATCTGACTGTGCAGAGATCCTAGAGGATTCTCAAATGGATTTTCCAGAAAGTGCTTCATACAAACACACACAGGAGGAGACGATGTGGGATTGCAGAGCTGCAAAGATGGCATTGTGCAAGGCAAACCCCAGGTCTCTCCATGAATTCTTTGTCTTCCATTAATTCTCTGAGACATGGAAAGTAGATTTCTAGGTATCATGGGAAATTAGGCATGCTGCTGAGGGTGGTCTGAAAATAACAGCATGCTTACTGGAGTGCTGGGAAGACTGGAGGTGACAGAGGCTTCAAGGAAGAGTGACAACTGAAGCACCACATCAGAGAATGCTGAACTGAAGTCAGGAGGAAGGCAGGCCTAAGAACATGGGCTCATGGGCTCCCTACTTTGGTGACCGTGAAAGACCCATTTACAGATTGGAATTTTGGCAGCAATGGAAATGTCAGATTTGTGTGTCATCTCTTTGACTCAATGTTTTTATATGTTGCTTCCTGTTTATTAACTTCTATTTCTTATAACTTTGTGATGAGACAGTTGGAAGGCATGCCTATCTCTCATATTGTATACATTGCCAGAAGGGCTAGATGGAGTACGCATGGAAGAAAGAATATGCCAATAAAAGCATTGATCAATGAAACATCATCAGAATAGTTCATGGAAGAATGCACTGGCAAAGAAATTACACATAGACATCTACCCAGAGAGACTCTGAGGTTGACTATAAGTAAAGTTTAAAAATGATGTAGAACTCCGAGGGAAAAGGAGTTTGGTGGAAGACTTCGAGGAAGATGTGTCTTTACTTTACTGGGCCTTGGAGGATGGCTTGACTTTCGATATATGGAAGGAGAAGAAATGGTATTCTAAGATGAATGATGATTAATTTTCATGTATCAACTCGACTGGGCCATGGGGTGCCCAGATACTTCAAGGAATAGTCATCTAATTAATGCCCCTACTCCTACCTTTGTATCCCCTAAATTCATTCTTCACAAAACAGCCAGATCAAAGTTCTTTAGTGGCTACTTTTTGCACTTATCTGAGTTGCTGTGCATATGGCTCCTGCCTTCCTCTTGAACCTCATCGCATCAGCCCCCAGCTCACTGAGCCTTTTTTACTCTGCCTCAGACTCAACAAGCTCTTTCTTTTCAGGCTATTTGCTAGTGCATTTCCTCTGCTGGGTTGGTCTCATGGCTGGCTCCTTTCTATACTTCAGGTCTCAGCCTAGATCTCATCTGTTCAGAGAGGGCTCGCTGATGACTCCATCCAGTGTGGCCCATTCTCCCCTCCCCATTATTTTCTGTCATTACACACTATTTATTTTAAACACTAACAATAATTTATAATTTAATGAATGAACAAATGAACTAACTAATTAACTAACATATTTACTCTCTGTCTTACCCACTGGAAAGTAAACTCCACAAGAAGAGAGACCTCTATTCATCATTGTATCACCAGTGTCTTAGTCTATTTTCCGTTGTTATAACTGAATACCTGAGACTGGGTCATTTATTAAAAAAACAAATTTATTTCTTTCAGTTTTGGAGGCTGGGAATTTCAAAATCAAGGGGTTGCATCTGGTGAGGGCCTTCTTGCTGGTGGAGACTCTGCAGAGTCCTGAGATGGCACAGGGCACCACATGGATAGGAATTACATGAAAGAGAACGAAACTGGCTTTTATAATAGACACACTCTTGCGATAACCAACCCACTCCTGTAATAATCCACCAATCAATTTCATCTATTAATCCTTGAGTGGATTAATCCATTTATGAAGGCATAGCCCTCATGACCCAATCACCTCTTAAAAGTTCTACCTCTTCATAATGTGACATTGGTGATTGGGTTTCAACATGAGTTTCAGAGGGGGCAAACATTCACCATGGCAGCCAGTGTCTGGTATGCATTTAACACATGGTAGATACTTCATAAGCATCACATGATTCATCATGAGAGGTACAGCAGTGCCCAAGGCGAGGTCTCTCTCCTCAGGAATCTCATGGTTGAGTAGTGAGAGGCCAGGAGTCACGGTGCAGTGGGCTTGCAACCCAGTCTAACCTAATTTGAGGGAAGGTTGGAAGAGCTTCCTGGAAAAGGGGATGCATGAGGCAGGCCTCAAAAGGACTGAGGGCTGTTAGTTAGCCTGATAAATTAAGAGAAGGGTCTTTTAAAAAGTAGAAGTGCCATGCATAAAGGATCAGAGGGGTGAAAATAGGGTTAAGGCCAGTCCAGAATGACAGCAATGTGGGATATGAATTGCAACAGTAAGAGATGGGGAGGAGACAGAGCAAGGGCCAGATCACCCAAGACCTGTCATGTCACTCTAAGAAGATTGCACTTGACCTCGCATCAGTAGGTTGTCATTGACTGACTTCAGGTGTTTTGTAGCAGAGCAGACTTAGGCTAATTCCTTCTGGGTATCATGGTGAGGTGGAGGACCTTTGGTTAAAGGATCTTACCTCTGTTCTTCGTTAACTGCATAGATTTCTCTTCTCCATGGTTCTCAGCTCCATTACTGTCTAATAGACTGCAGAAGACTGTAGAAAGGGAATGAGAAGGAAGAATATTTATAGTAGGGAACTTTGGATATTGGACGTAATTCCTGGGATGAAGAGAGAGTAGCAGAGGGTGGAGTGGAAAAAGCACTGTAATAGGAGTCAAGAACCCTGGTTCTGTCACTAGGCCTCTTACTATATAGCTTCGGATAACTAATTTCGTCTCCCTGGGCCTTGATTTCTCCATATGGAAATGGGGCTTTGGGCTTAATGTGGTAATTCACCAAAAATGCCCGACCTTACAGAATCATACTGGTGATGTGATTTCAGGCACCATGATCCTGAAGTAGAATGTATTTTGTTTGTCTGACTTAAGTCATATTCTATAAGTGGCTCTTATGCATCTCCTCTATTCCCCTTCTCAAGGGAACAGACCTAGTGTGTGTCTATGTATCAGTACTTTTATAGGCACTGGAGATAAAACAAAGACAGGCCCAGTTTCTCTATTTTCATGAAGTCTACAGTTTAGCACTGGAAAACTTATTTTTTAAAAAAATCACACAAACAATGTAAAATTACAGCTGTGATTAGAACCACAGAAGTAGCACACAGCATGAAGAGAACCATTCAAAAGGAAGTCAGAAAAGCCTGTGACAGTTCTGGAGGCTGGGAAGTCCAAAATCAGGGCGCTGCATCTGGTGAGGGCCTTCTAGCTGGTGGGGACTCTCTGCAGAGTCCCAAGGTGGCATAGGGCATCACATGGCTAAGGAGTGCAAAAAACAGAACCAAACTGGCTTTTATAATAGACCCTCTCTTGTGATAACTCCTTGCAGTAGTGACACTTGGGGGAAATCTGAAGGGTGAGTCAGAGATAACTGGGCAGAGAGGGGAAGATAGCAAGTGCCAGGCAGAGGGAACAGCATATTCAGAGAGACAGGGCAAAGGCTGGTGTGGCTGGAGCAGAGAGAGGAGCCTGGCGAAGGATGAAGCTGGACAGGGCACTATAGAAAATACTGCATGGGCAGAGCCTAGGGAATCAAGTTGGTCAGATATTGGTCCTTTAGTTGCTGAATTGTGGGGGTTTCTGACGGTCCTGCAAGAGGAGGGAGGATGTCAGGGGACATTTGGTGTAGGTGTGCTTGAGATGAGGAAGTGTTTTCAATATTCTGACAATCCTTATGGCTACATGGATGTGTTCCATCTGACCATTAGTGATTGGAACAGAGGTGGACAGAGACCCAACCAACCATGAGGACCTAGACAACATAGGGTTTTGCCCATATCTTGACAATATCGGGGAGCCACTGATGGGGCCAAGGAGGATGGTGAGGGGACCACAACTGGATTTTACAGAACTGAAATTAAGGTCAGGAGAGCAAGGTTCTCATTGCAGCCTCAGAACTGAAGTGGGGGCCAAACATCAGTATTTAAGATAGACAGCATATTTCTGTGATATTTTAGAAAATTTCAAAGTAATGCAGAAAAAATTCAATTGTGGGCAAAATATCAACATTTTCAATAAAGACAGCATTTAATCCTACACTTTCATGACTCAGCCTCACTTTCTTCAACCCAATCTACGCC